CAGTTTACTATGTGGAATGATTCTGTCACAAATCTGCAAATAGTCCCTTCACCGTCGGCCTTTTGTTTCATATTTCCAATTTACAATAACTACTTATTTGGAAATCGTCTCGACAAACCACTCAATAGCATTAAAAACACATTTATTCTTTGACATTGTTTTTAAAATGCTTTACCCTCTTCATACAAACAATTCTTTACAGTTTGGTGTTGTTCTGAATGTTGCATGGTTCAGATTAGCATATAAATAACATACCATGGCGTATATGAATATTGTGATTAAACCAGCAAAAGTGTAAAAAGTGCATACATGCTTGAGGCTTAAATGATGTACACATACACACATACTTCCTACGTTTGGAAGTTTCTGCTCCCCATATCAATAAACATCCCAAACAACAAAGTGACTAAAATTGGCAAGATTGCCATAAAAGGGTGCAGTGGTGGCATGTTGATTTTGTTTTAAAACAACGCCGAGATTAAACAATAACACATGATATAGCTTAGATTAGATTCATAATATTGCAGCAGCTCAAATTATAAGAAAACGCTGACGAAATATTTTCTCACATAATAATACCTTGACCATGTTAGGATTACGTAATTATGTACCAAAGGTCTTGTGTACCAAATCATCTACCAACTAACAATACATTTCATGTAACAATTTAGTCTTGAACAAGCGTTCGAGCATTCCATAAATTGTGACTACGTACAAGAACAAAACACAATAACAATACTTATATAATAACCAATGGTTTGTTCTTCACAAGAACAAGATTTCGATTTGTTAGTTATATTTAAAAAAAATGTATACACTGATATATAGCGTAGGTGCAATACTATGCAATGCGTAAGTAAAATAAACAATCCAATCGAAATCAATAATAAGCATTCAATCAATTCACCAGTTGTAGTTCAAAAACAATTAACATATTATAATACATAGTCGAATCCGTGGATACAGCCAGGGTGAGAATTGTGTTCAAAATGAGTAAAATAGTTGTTTTAAATTGTACAGGATTTTTTTTCTCTCTTTACACAATTTTATTTGATTTAATTACATACATTACAGTAAACATTAATTACATAATACAAAACGACAAAGACAAGCAAACAAGAGTAACAGAAATAAAACAAAACAAGATAATTGCTAATTCACTGAAATCAAAAAAAAAATACACACTATCAGAGATAATAGACCACTT